AAAAACAATTTACAACACTTTTAAAACTTATAGGGACTCCGCTATATAATCACCAGCTCATTTGCATACTCTTTTGCATTCTTTAATTAACTTTTTATTAACAGAAAACTGGAGCAGGAAAGGCAACAACTTTTTTTGGGGGGTTCTGCCGATCATCTCCCTTCAAAAAAAAAAAAAAAAAAGCCGTATTTTTTAAAATGCAAATCAGTCTTTGAGCGAACTAAATCCCCTTTGCAAACACCGCGACAAAGGTATGACATTATTAGGTTTTAGATTAGCAGCCGCTCGCAAAGCTGTTGATTTCCGTCATTTCCCTGTTGGTTAGTTTCAATTTGTAACCACTGTTCCTTTTTGTCAGCACAGTCTCTGTCTTTGTTTGATATATGCTTTCATAACTCACATTGCTCCTCTTGGCATTAGAAATCATTTTACAATTAATTTTTTTTAAGCAGTGCTCCTGCACTTTGGGCACGGACGATCTGGCCTCCGCCGAGCTCCGGCAACAAACAAGCTATAAGCTGACATTAAATATGACTCACCTTTGAGGCAATGTTAGTAATTGTCCTTAATTGAATATGCCGGCAATATTACAGTTATTCTATGTAATTTAAGGGGATTCTAAACGTGCCCATTTATTAAACAGCCACCTCTACTGTAAGTGGGAGAAGCCAACTGCGGGAGGCCCCTGGTAACCACATGCTATCACAGCTCGGCCTTCCAGCCTCCAACCGCGACACGCTTACACTCATCCACTCCACAGGGGAAGTGTTGAGCCTCGCTCGCCGACGTGAGAGCACAAACACAGAAACATTTACCCTCCGCTAGATAGGCAGTGTTGCTTATACCTCCTCCCTTCCCTCCCTCTCCCAGTTTCACGTCTCTCTCTCTCTCCCTCTGCTCCTCCCATTGCCGTTTTCTACTGAGTCAGTTTGTCTCTCCTCCTCTCAAAGCAGTTTTCCCTCAAGCTTCGTCCTGTTCTGTCATTTTTGCTTCTGTTTATTTGTCTGTGTATCTCCCCCCCTCCCCTTCTCTTTCCCATCCTCGTGTCAATATTAGTCTTTGTTCATCTGCATCTCTAATTCTCTCACTCCTCTTCGTTCCTATATGGTGTCAACATGCTCTCTCACTGAGTAACGCAAGGTGTGATTCTGAAGCTGATAATCTACAGTATATCTACCAGTGTTTTGACATAGTGTAGATTTTGAGGTAATGCCTCAGACTGTTATTAGCCTTTGCCATTATTACATCTTGTTGCTTTTCTGAAATATTGCACAGTAAAACAGAATAAGCCTGTGTGGAAGAAGCCCTCAGCTTCTCAGAAACCTTAATTAAGACACAATGGAGCAACTTTAAAGCCAGAAATAACATGCTGCCTCTTGTAAATGAAAACTATAAGGAATAAATGCAGCTATGCTTAATTCCGTACACACTGTACACAGGACGTTATAAATATCTCTCTGCTTGTGCTACTGTTAGGCTAGCATTAACATTAAAGCTGGTGCAATCAGTATTTTAACACAAAAGATCAAATGACAACATGTAATGTAAAGAGGGTCTCTTGTAGCGATGAACGCAGAGAATTATCACCTTACTCTGCAGTTCAGCTCTACAGAGCTTTATAGCGCCTGTTATTAGTTTAGTTTTACGGGCCGCAGCTTTATTGTTTTGTTTCAGTGTCTCAATGCTCTCATTAGTGTCCATGAGTGAAAAAGTTCTAAAAATCTGACAGACAGAACAGCTAACATCAGCGACTGGCTGGTGAACATTTAGCATTTAGCTGCTAAAGAGAGACAGATATTTCCCTCCAGAGTTGGTGGAGACCAAAACAGAGTCAAAAGAAAAGTGAATATTGGACTTATTAGGTGGCCAGAAACCTTCCAAATGAATGCTAATGTTTTTTTGGTATCTGCTAAAATGTACAAGCTGTTAGCAAACTGTTTTACATACATACACTTTAAAGGTAATACAGTATATCAATTTGTGCTTAAAGCTTGTTTCTACTGCCCCCAAGTGACTAAAATGATCTGTTGTTGCAGGTTTATGGAAAAAAGTTCCTTTTTAGTAAATTGACACAATTTACTGATTATAAAAAAGGTGTTAATGTTATTCTAAAGCTCATTTAAACTACTTGGCTGAGAAAGAGAAATAAATAATATGATTGACAAGACCTGCTAAATCAAACAGTGACTATGACCAATCTCAATACTGGAAGAAAATGCTAACCAGTGACTTTAGTTTTTCACCTACTCTAAAGAAAAACAGAATCCAATTAACTTTAATATTAGACACGAAAAAAGCAAATAATGCTGGTCAACATATCAGTCACAGAAATAGAAACGGTACTAAAGCCTGATAGAGCAGTGAGTGTAGGCCTGAAACTGTACATACTGTATGTACTGTATTCTCACAAACCAAACGCCTTTCAATGGTGTTGTTTGCAGAGAATATGTAGGCTAGAGGCTGACTGTGAAGCGTCAGTATCGTGACTGAATAGATTGGAGTAAGCGTGGACACGAGGGAGATGGATGTGACTGTCGCACGCCGACTCAACGCGAGCGCCCTTTTTTCCCTCTCAGCCCTGAGGGTATAACTGGCCTGCCTTCAAAGGAGGAAGCTTAAAAACAATCTCCACAGAGTGAAAGCGGCAAAGGGTTGTGGTGGGCGTCAGTCAACCAGTCAGTCACTCACTAGTCAGTCAGTCAGTCAGTCAGTCAGACGAAGGCCTCGGCGTCTCCCACTCCAGAGAACAGGTAGCCTGAACTAGTTTCTACAAAGCTGAGTCGGAGATTTAATGCAATATAAAGCCTCTGGGCCTTTTTAGCAATTTGGAGTCAACACACAAATACGCCCACGCTCAACTGGAAAGACTTTCCATCCCTGCCCCTTCATGTGCAAATGTGCTGAATGGAGGTGTGTAAGTATGTGTTAGTGTGTGTGTGTGTGCTCAGCATGTGCTCAGTTTCCCTACTGAATCCTTCCCACAACTCCCTCCTTACCTTTTCTGATCCGCAGCAACACATCAATGGCCAGTCAGTTAAAAAAAAACGATACCGAAACTTAGCAGTGCTAGTTTTTTTTTTCTTCTTCTTTTTCCAAACAACTGTCCATTTAAACTGCAGTCTTCCAGCGTGGCTCCCACCCACACTGTATGGGGTGAAGCACGCAAGTAATTTAACACATGATGATCATTCAGTAAAGTGAGGAGTTGTTGATACCCTGCAGATTGTTGATTCTGTTCCTTTGTGGAAGCAGGTTTTATCCAAGGAAAAGTTTTTTATGAAACACCATCACATGGTCTCCATATGGCAATGATGCAATATAAAGTTTTGTCCAGATGCCAGTAATGTAATATTAGACAGAGTGCTGCTCTTGACACGGTCTGTGTGATTGGCAGCATTTCCAGCTGTTGCTAGAGTTAGGAGCCTGTGAAGGCTTAGTGTTTTTTATGCTGACATCAGCTTTGGCATCTGTTGCCTTTGAAACATTGAATGAGGGGGAGATTAAAATATACAGTGATATTGTGTTGTTGCTGAGATGGTGAGGAATCAAAATGGATTAGATTCTCAGAAAAAGCAGTTTTTGTCTTTCCAGCTGATCAATTGATGTGTTTGGCCTCACTGATGCATGAAAACCATGATAATTACAGCATGTGTTTTCAGATTTTGCTGTATTAACACGTCTCTGTGGAGTCAGATTACTTCCACTGAAGAAAGCTAAAAGAGCTCAAACCTACAGTAGACTTACATGTGAGGTTAGTTTAGAGAAGTTGCTTGCAGGAATGTCTTGCGTCCGACTTTATTGACGCCTTAAACAAACCTATTATTCCAAAAACCGAAGCCGAACCTAAAAAAAAGTTACATTCGCCATCAAATTGAGAATGTGGATGGGAGCTGAAGCCAGATAAATAAAAAACAGCAGTCCCTGGGCAACAGGGCCCGAGGCTATTGCATTGCTAGCAGGCAAACAGCCACCCAGCTGCCCCAGCAGGGCAGGAATATATCAGGCAGCCTATTGGATACCTGACAGCTGATTTAGCTCCCCATTAATGAGCAGAGGGCTCTGCTGCAGAAACCCCACAATCTCTTACATAACAACATCATAAATAGCATGCACAGCAGACTGCTAACGCTGGCAGAATCCTGTGAAATCAAGATATGTTATATTCAGTACACAATGCATCACTAATAATAGTTGAAAGTGTGTAAATATTGTGAAAGTGTTGTGAGACTATATATTATGTAGCTGTAGTTTACAAACGCCTACACTGTACATTTTTAATATTTAAAAACACGTTTTAGCATGTTTTACTGTGGAACTGTGTAGGAAATAATACACGAGCCATTAAAACTGTTGCAGTAAAAGCAGAATTAAAGAAAGAACTAAAGTACGGTTGTAAAGTAGGACAGTCCTTTTATTTGTGCTTGAGCAGTCATTTGATACAGCATTTACATTACTTGCAGTGTCACTTTATTTATTCGACTATCTACATAGTAATGTTGTTGAGGCTTAAGTGTAAATACACTGGAATACATATAATGAAAACAGTACTTAAGCCAACAGTCTTAATACTTTCTGACTTCCTTACCCTAGTCTATTTGTTCTTGTCACGGGTCACAAATATATAGTTACATTCTCTAAAAAGAAGCTAAATAATTCCCTAAAACAGCTGGGAACTGTTTTGTTTTTAACATTACTCAAACAATTAAATAGCCCTGTTTACCTCTATTTACTATTTGTTTTAGACTATTTTCAGCTGCGGATTAATACACAATCAGCTATAGAGGATTGACACTTCTCATGTTCGTGGTAATGAAGAAACATGTGCACTGATGTGTTTTAAAATAGTTTTCAATGGAGCCTATGCTAAGCTATATCAGGCTTTGGCTAAACAGGCAATACTTGTTCGGAGGATCAAATCAGTTTTGGTTTTGGTCTTTTCAAGGAATTTATTGACAATAAGACAAATATTGAATATCGCCTTAAGTGTAAACACGTATAAGAAATATACTGCAGTGTGAATACTTGTGTAGACGTAATGATTCAATAAATGCTCTATTCAAATATCCAATGTAAAGCAGTACTGTAACAATCAATGAAAACTAAAGTTGTCTAGGAGCAGTGTTACTGAAAATCTGATTCTGACCTTAGCAAGACTTACTTGGAAGTATATATGTTCTGACAACACAGATGTCACAGGGGACCCTCAGGACCCCAGCCTGTCACCGCAGGCTAGCCAAGGGGATGCAGTGGGAGGGGGCTAAGTTAATCTAGGCTAGGCCAGTGAGGGAAGAGGTCACAGTTCACTGTGTATGCCCCGCTGCTTTAGCACCGGCTGACAGGCCACAGGAGTCTGAAAGTCCATGATGTACTGGCATTTGCTGGGCTCCTTCACCGATCGCAAGGCTGTCTCCGTTCCGCATGTCAGTGTGACCTAGAAAAGCACAAAGAAAGGAAAGTTGAGGTGGTGTTGTAGAGGAGCCATAGTTAGCCTGAGTCAAGAGCCATGTCAGTTTTATCTCCCAAAGGGGGCTGATTGAAGACGCTGTCCTACCTCTTGTTTTAATGATTTTCAAACTTTTGTGAAGAAATGGGATTTACTATAAATTATGCCGAAACTACAGAACTAGTGAATCAAACATGATCAGGTCTCTTGTCAAATAAAAGGATTGTACTGCACTTGAGGAGTTTCATCACTGCCTAGCCTGCAATCAGAGACTTTACAAGACCCAAAGTGATGCTGTGACTGCGGGACACTGTGGCATTATGGGACATCACCGCTGTCTTCCCCACGTGTGGACATGCGAGGATGCGATTACCACTGTCATGACTTTAATAGGTGACTTTGACGCCCTCTGCAAGAGAGTGGAAGGGAAAAAAACCCAACTTATTTTACTTCTAGAGGGTTTCCATAGCAACCCCTCACATCATACTGCACCCTGAACAGATCCCTCTGGCGAACAAAAGCACCTGGAGAGGGAGAGAGACGGGAACTTGACAGGTATTATTGTGCTGAAGTTTCAGGCTGGTACAAGTGGTGATTTGGTTTTGTCCCGTACTTGGATTAAAAATAGAGTCTTTTGTTATGTCACTTAGTATCTTGTTGCACTGAGATATTAAGTGGGTGTGTGCTGCTTGGTGAGACCAAGTGTTTTCCTATGTACTTGTGCACATGGAAATTCAATTTTGACTTGCAGGTGCCAGAGATCAGTGCTGGGGGGGTTGTGTGGTTTTACGTTTAAAGCTTTTGTGTGTACTTTTGTATTGACTCTGTTTATTATGTTAAAGAGACACTCCACCAATATTTCACATGAAGATCAGATTACACACTGTGGTTAGTACTACTCATGTGAAAAAACAGATGATGTCATAGTGACATCATCAGGGTTGTCTCAGCATGGAGACTCATTTATAACAAAAAGCCTGAGTCACAAACAGGCAGGGAGGGTCTAAAGAAAGATGCTACTGAGTTGCATTGGTTAGATTTTTGGAGCTAAATCAAAATGTCTTGGTTTCTGCTGCATCATTATTTGGTTCTTTGTCTTCATCTTTCTGTCCCATAAGACACCCTACAATGGGTACATCTGACTACAGGTTGAGTGGAAAAATAATGGAAATAACATCAAAAGATAGATATGGTATATTACAATATGGGTCTTATTTTTGTAGCGTTTGTACTGCTTATGACAACACTGCTTTCACCAAAACTAATGGCTGAGATCTGTTGCCCCAAAAAAGTACAAAAGGGCAGGAAACATGACAGGTTGTAAACAAGCGAACAGTCTAGAAGTTTTCTCTGGAGGTAAAACTGATAGTGAGTGCACACAAAATGTCGTCAGTTATCCCCTCATTTCACAGGAAAACTATATGTCGACAACTACAGAAACTAAGAAACTTTTTGGGTGATTTGTCTTTTACTGTTCGCTTTTGTTTTCTCTTCCAATTTTGGTAAACCTGGGGGTTTGTTTCAAACTTGTATGAGGGTTCATGTTTCTTGAAATAATGGCCAAATCTACAAAGAAATGTCCAATATACTGGAATTTAAACAATGGGAGAGGCTGGTTTATATCTGGAGCCACAGTTGTGCTAGCTGTAGCTGAACTCACTGCTCACATGTAACAGTCACAGTCCAACACTTTGCATTTAATTAATAAATGAAACAGTTGAGTTCACCCTTCCCTACAGAGTCTTAAGATACACTGTGAGAAGCTTGAATTTGGATTACTTCAATATCCCCCACTGAAACAATACATCACTGGTCCCACTACTCAAGTATAAAGTGTGTTTCACCGCTGAAAGAGAGACGAGGTTCAGCATTTCAAATATAATGAGCGTCGACTTCTGACGAGACTTCATTTATGCCGACTGCACACGGTTAGGGGGTCGTATCAAAGGAATTCAATTTAGTCTTTTCAAGGGGGGCCCCTGGATGGCTTGAGTGCATACATTTGCAAACGACATTTATTGGACTCTGATTTGAAGAGGGGGCCAGGCACAGAATATAAGATGATTAAATGTGCTGCATTTTTAATTGAGCAAATTCTCACACAAAAATGTAAATGAATCTCATAAAAGGGACTGAAAGAGTAGGGAATACTGCGAAAATAGAAAGAGCAGTAGAAGAGAGAGCTGCAGGAGAATGCAACCGGAGCGACATTAACCATAAAACCAATGAAGACTGACAGAGGGGGGAAAGCAAGTCAGCTTCCATCATTTGGCTTTGAACAAAACATCTTTTTGCCAGGCTGCTGAGTGGGCCATGAGGACTGAATGTCTTTTACTGATTGACTGACTAACTCCCCATTGTTGAAATACACATGCGCAGAATGAGGCATGCAGAGAGCAGACTGGGCGAGAAGGCTTCAAATTGTCCCTGATGAATGTGGTGAGAGGAGCTTCATTTGGCTGTTTTCTTTAGCTTTCCCTCTGGAAATAAGCAGTGCATGGCCTCTTTGTACAGTTAACTTAAGTTGTATTTATTTGTAAGGTGGATTTTTGAAGTCTTTATCGACAGCATCTTTTGGTTTCTGTGGGGGGAGGAGGGTTTTCCAAAGTGTGTAGCTTAAGAATCTTTGTGGGCTGATGTAAAAAGAGGGTTCGGCATCATTTATGACCTATGAGTAATGTGTCAAAAGCCTCTGAGGACTTGCTCATCTAGGCCCACTTTAGTAATCTCTATGAAAATGCTTGACAGTGGGTTGTGTGGATTATCTTGAGTAATGAGGACATTGTTTCTGGAAAGCCTGTCCACCTTTTGGAGTGGCAGCAGAAACCTGACCAAACTACTGTAATTTCCTTTAAATATATTTGCCTCAGGGACAGAGAGAACCAGGTCTTTATTTGGAATAAACTTATATTAGATACATGTGTTAATTATAAATAATTTCCCAAGTTAATGCAAAGTCAAAACCTCCTATGTGTTGACCTGTTGTCACAGTACTAATTCAATCAGCATGATCCATATCACAATCTCTAGACTAAAGAAGTCTAGACTGTACGCTTACTCTACCGTACACTTTTTTATTAAAATAAATTTTATGAAATTATTTTTAACGACCCAACACTTCTCACCAAGAACAAGCACTTTACGACAGCAGCAAGGAAAAACTTCCTTTTAAGAAGCAGAAAGCAGCCGTCTGCTTCGACCGGTTGGGGTTGGAGAGAGAGAGAGGGAGAGAAGGAGGGGGTGGATGGTAAAGAGAGAAATACAGAGACAGAGTCGACAGCAACAACAATAGCACCAACTACTAGTAGAAATGACTAATAATAATGATGATGATGATGATGACGACAACGATGATGACAACGGCCATAACAATGGTGAATTAGTATTAATAATAATAATAATAGCAAGTGAATTGGTTTTGTGGTGCAAGTATTTACTGGATTTGTGTTGACTAACATTACCACTACATAATATTACATAGATAGAAACCATAATTAAACTAAAATTTCCACATCTGCCATAATGAATTACAATCCAAACAGGGTCTGTGTATCACATCTTTTATTTAGGGTAGAACTCTAATGAGCTGTGCAAACGACTTCTTTCTGTTCCCTCGTCCTTTACTGTATCATCTACCCATCTGTGTATTTGACAGAGGGTCAGTGTGTTCGTACCATTTGTTCATCTGTCTGTCTATTAGTTTATTCATGTTTATTCTTTGTACTCTCATATGCTCCCACTACTGTGAGTGTGTCTAATGTAGGTTTGTATGTATGGTTCTGTGTGAAACACTTACTGTAGTACTGCGTGAACCTCCTTGCCAGCAGGGTTCTCCATTCTCATATACCATCTGACTGTACTGGTTCTTTGGTGTTCCTGCCCACATCCCCCACCTCCTGAAATAAAAATACATACAAATAAATGGTCAGTTTTAATATTCTAAGCCTCCAAACTAAAACCAGTTATTTATTGATCTTTTGTAAACAGTTGGGTCAAAATAATCACAGAAACATACACATATATATTTTAAACACCATTAGGTTGGCTTATTGAAAAACACTTTCTCCTAGCAAAAATAAAAAGCTGGCAAGATGGCCAGTCTGGCAGTGCCCTCCTTTGGATCCTGGCACCAGTGCTCTTGCGTCCCCTCTCCTCTTCAACAATGGAGGGGAAATATTAATTACCATTTTGTCAGAGTTAATTCTGTGTACAATAACACACAAGGGAAGGAGAAGAGAAAAACACACAACGCTAGTGAAGCCCATCTCAAATGAGGTTGTGTCTGCCCAGTGCTAGCTAATTACATTCTCACCAAACATTTGGAAAACCAAAGCAAACCAGGGTGCCAGGAGACACTGTCCAACACAGCTCGCAGTACTGACAGATGCCATTTGATTACGCTTTCACCAGCTAACTTCCTCTGATCTTTTGTTGAACTTGAGCAGCTTCTTTGAGGTGGCGTCGATTGCAGTCGCACTGCTGGTAAGTATTGATTTTTGTAAAACAATGTAATCCTGTTAGGGAGGAAAATCTTTTCTGCATTTAGTGCATGGTTGATTGAAGATGTTTACAGAAATGCGTGTTGCCCTGATCTCTTGCCCTACATAGCTTAGCTATTAACTAACTAACTATTTTCTGTCTGCAATACTAAATACAAATAATGAAATCCATCTTTTCACTTTTAGTAACTGGAAACTGCTTTGTCAATGTTCTGTTAATCATTCTGGATAAAAAGCTACAAAAAGCTATAAATTCTATTCTATTGTTCTTTTAATCTGCCTGAGTGCTTTTCTCACCAGTGCCAGCTCTGTCACATGATTGCATGATGAAGACATGATCAATGCACCTACATTGACCTTTCAACAGGGGATTAAAGTAGTAAGATCTGCTCCTTTCTTTGAGTGCTGCTTTTAGTATTATGGAAGCTAATCTGCCATATTTCATGACCCATTATGATATTTTTATTGGTTCCTTAATTGGTAGTATATTATACTTTTTATATCTGTCAATTTTTCTAAAGCTCAACAACAAACATAAATGAATAGGTCAACCCATAATTGACAGAATATGGGAGGTAGTAGGGGAAAAAACACACAACTTATTCTAGTTGGTAGCATTAAGTTGTGTCCAACAAATTTCTTTCTACATTTCTTTAAATGTTGTTTCATTCTCATTTGACCTTGATGAGGGCAAACATGGAGTCTTCTTTGATTTCAAAAAGCACTCTCCAGCTTTTACAGATACATGGCTGTCTTCAGGTCCCCGAGTGTGGCTTTTCTGCCATCCATGATGCGCATGGCTTATTTAAGATGCCTGAACGGGTCAGTCTGGGGTGAATTGCTCACACAAGTGGAAGCCGGCTGGGCCCTGGCGTCTCGCCTTTTTCCTTCCAGCCTGTTTGATTGGGTTTTAGCACTCTCTTAGTACCATGAGCCCCTCAAATGGATTGCTGTCAGGGCCAGCAGACATGGCGAGCGGAAAAAGTGACAGTGCTCCGGCTCTCGCTGCTAGTTGACCAGCAATCCCTTGCGCATCAACTCCATGGCTCCTTTTCCGCTGTACCCCCTCATCCCCTAATGCACGCAAGCACCTCATTCCCTCGCCTCACCTTTGTTCACTCCTTTCCTTAATCTCCATTCTCGCTCTGTCAGTCCTCCTGCGCCCCAGAAGGCAGCGGAGCCCCTGTCAATTAGGTTAAAGTTATCACTGAGATGTAGCCAACACACTCCAGTCATTTGGACTCTCGAGATGGGATCTTATTGACAGACCATTCCCCGTAATAATACCTTCTTGAACTTGGTATTGGCAGGCTATTTTCTACAGTCATTCTGCAGTTATCACCAGACTAGTGCAAAGCTAGTTATTTACACCTCTGGAAAACATCACATTGTGCCTCATTGCTTAATTTCATGGCACCAGGGTGCATAAGCATTCCTTTATGTTAGTCTAAACCTGTGACTGACAATGTATCACAACCCAAATGTGCAAAATGGATCCCCCTGGCTCAATGACATGTTCATTTTCTCATCCAATTTATCACAGTTTGGCCTTAAGCTGCAGTCATGATGCTGACTTGCACTCATATCAGCAGGGCCAGTCTGCTTAAATGATATGGGTTACTGTATGTATGTATATCTGCTGCACCTGCTCCTGTTTGCCTGCCCAACAAAGTGGTTCACACCCAACTATTACTATTCAGATGAGAATAGATACATTTCTCAAGATTAGAGCAGGGTAAACAGACACATTTCAGTTTTCAGTCCAATAAACTAACATGAATGAACATAATTAAAGTATGTAAACAGATTAACATTGGCAGCGGCGAGTAAATTGCATCTTAGTTTTTTGTAGAAAATCAATTTCTGACCATATGGAGACAAGGGAGGGGCCACAAATGCATACTTCCTTTAATGATTAATGACAGAAGATACTGAACACGTGCTCCTTTTAAGGCTTAAAACCTTGAGAATCTTATTTACAGATATCTGGGTTATGATTCATTCTTTGTCTGGCCTCCTCTAATGCCATAAATTGCACCTTCCATCATAGATAAACCTGTAATAGAAGCATATCTAGGCAGCTAAACCTATTATCCATACATTTACTTTGCATTGTGGGTGAGATAATGGGTCTCAGAGAACTCAGACATGCTTCTAACCGCACACATTAGGGAGGCAATCTCATTTAATTTTGTCTCTGAATCACTAAGGTGTGATTTCTATTGACACACAGAATAGCAGATGGAGTTGTGACTTAATTAGATCCAGTACCCGACAAAAAAGACCATTAAAACTGCAGTTTCAGCTCATTGAATGCCTTCAGAGCTAAGTTTACTGTAAGACTAAATAAAGAACTGAAGAATAATGGAAATGCTATATAACATGTTGTATTATACATGTCCAAACAAGTTTAGGAATTTATGATAATGTAAAATACTTTTTGTAACTGTTCTGACAAAATAGGTCTCAGAGTATTGTTTTACTTATTTTTAAAAAAAAATCTAATCCTCATTAGGAATAATTAGCATTAAAAAAGCTGATTAGCTTCCCTTTCTTCTTCTGATAATGTCTTGAGCTGATATAAGCTCTTCTTATTTCTTTAAAACGATGCGGTCGCCAGTGATTCTGTTTTAAACTTCGTTGCAGCATTAATCCGTATGCCTCAAGTGATAAATCCCGAAGATCCATGGCTAATCTCGCTCAACACTGAGAAGAGAGTTACCCCCTCTGATATAGCCACAAATCAACCTTTCAGAAGCAATTATCATTTAGACAACTCTACTCTGGTATTTAAACACCCCGCAGACACGAGGGTGGAAAATCTGGGCCAAAAGTGTATTTGTGCATGCCTTGATGTAAGTCTGTGTATGTTTGTGTGTGTTTTGAGACCCTGGGCCTTCACTGGAGAGAAAATGGATGAACAAAACCACAGGGAAAAAAAGAACACAATGGTGGCCCCGTTTGGTACGTCTGTGGTTTCCTCAAGAAAACGGAATATAAATTTGCTCATTTGCCTTCAGTGCCCTCTTTGTATGTTTGTAGACATTAGAAAGCTGACGTAAACTCCACTGAAGCGTCATCGTATCTGCTTCTCATGCACAGGAGCAAACTACCAGCATATATTCATGTCTAAAACAAATTTTCATGTGTCATGTAAAGGAATTAGATTTATATTTCCCCAATATGTTCACAAGCAAAGAGAGACACTTGCATGTGCACTGAGGCAACACATGGCTAGGTGTTTCATTTCAATACTTTATGATGTATTGACCGAAATGTGACCGTGGTGTCATTGACTGCTTGGTTAGGTTCTTACATGTACCATGCATTTAACACTGCACTGAAGAGTGGAAGGGGCTGCGTCGGTGGGGGTGTGCTGTTTATTAATAGTTTGCCAAGACTGCCGCCATTTTAAAGTCCTTAAAGCCAATTGTTCTGATTTTTAATGCAAAATATGGTTGGATTCTGAAGCTCAAATGGTGTAGACATTTTCTGAATGAACTGAATTAGCTTACAAGGCAACTAGAAAACACATCACAGGCTGTCTTTAATTTACACCATTTAGCGCTAATTGGAAACTTAAACTAAAAGCAAATTGAGAAAAGAAACATTGTCAATATTTATCAATGTGAGGTATCTTCAGAGGTGCTAAAATTCAGACATTGTTTAGCACCGGTATTCATTTCAAATGATACCCAGCTCTAGAGTTAGACTTATCTCCCATCAGTTTCTGTTATTAGAAAACGTCAACAATAAGCCAGGTCCTTCATAACACTCCATTCATTTCCAGCAACTGCCAGCGACCGCATGTGCCAACTCAGCTTTAGATTACTTGTAAATACTTCTCTAACAACCAGCTCCTCATCCTGAATCCTAACCTGTGTTAAGATGGAGTAAAGTCTGTGCTTATTACCATCATCTTTCCCACTGTAGCATCCACTCATTAGCTGCCACTGCAATGAATTATACCTCACAGCTATGCTTTTCACTGCTTTAACAAGGGGTCTGGAGCACCAAGTTAGTCCCCTCACTATGCTGTTAATGCGCTAATCATTTACAGCATGAGACGGCGCGCTGCACTGGCAGGTTTAGAGAGCAATTTGGGAGCCGCTGGCTAATTTGGATTTGGTGAAGCAGCGCCACAAAAAAAAACAGGCCCGGCTCTCATAGCCGAACATTTCTAACCTCTGCCACTCGTGTAAGGTCACCAATCAGAGAGCGGCGTTGTGAGACGTGTCCAGACACTGTCATTACTGTGCCAGTCACTGATGCTCCTCTCAACCTCCTACCACCCATTGTGCCCAGCACCTTAATAAATAATTCATACGCATAGGAACATGTGAAGGGCACATGCTCAGTCAGGGCTTTGCTTTCACTTCATTTCATATGACTGATAC